TTCTTTTTTACTTGTTTCAGGGATTTCAAATCATTTTATATAGTAGACAATGGAAGTCCGAACTAGTGAAATTCATCACGAAACATTGTCAATCACCTTCAAACAACTAGTGTCAACGTTTGTTATCGATTGTTGAATTCATGCTCAACCTGTTCAAGTTTGTTTGAAGGTGGTTGACAATGTTTCATAATGAATTTCATTATTTCGGACTTCTAAGGTGTTTTCTGGCGTTTAATAGTATTCAAGCGTGTATTCAAAAACGATTCGTAGTGACGTCATTAAAAATAAGATTCACCAGAATGAAGTAATTCAATTTTTTAATTTTCTCTAACCTCAATTAGAATCAGATTTGTGCAAGTAATAATTTGCAGTTTTATTTTGTATATCCTTACAACTTATTTGATAAAAAAAATTCAGTACTTTATACACTTTAACGATCAAAATAAAGCAGAAACTGACAACTGACGTAAAATAACGTCAAATTCCGTTTCAAAACCAATCTCACGCGGATGCCATGTCTCTCGCAGGGCTTCTATTTATGTTGTGATTATCCATTGTGCAGAATCATCAATATGTTAAAGTTTATGTGTAAGTTTAGACAAAAATGTGACGTGAGAGCCACCCTTCATTCACGCCAGTATCCAGGCCGGATAGTTTGGATAACCACGTAAAGGGGGCCATGTATGTGAATTTAAAAACCTGAAGATCTCCTGAAGAGGAGGCAATTCAAAAAATATGTGTAGAAAAAATCAAAAGGACTTTCAAGCAGAAGGCGACAATAAAAAAGTTTAATTGTTTTCATCGTAAAAAAGTTCGACAAGAAAGAGGTGGCAGCATTGAATCGAGCAGGACCGCTGCTCCTTCCCCCCAACGATTATATGGACATACAGGATTGCTTACTTTTGCGATTTTGTTAGACATGTCACGTGATTTCGTGACGTAACAGTGGTGACTCTGGATTGATTCGGTACTGCACTTTTAAATTAAAATAAACAAATTTCATGTAAATTAAATAAAAATATAATCAAAATAAACAAAACCAATGTAATACTGTCCGAAAATAATCCTCAAAAAATCTTAAAATAACACAGTCTTATGGCAGATACTAAAAGTGTCACCAGTGTTACGTCACATCTGTTCGGCGCTTGTTTAACGTGGCGATATATGTAAATAAGCAATCCTTTATGTCCATAATCGTTGCCTTCCCTCGACAAAGCCACAGAGGGGATATAGTTTGTGACGAAGCTCCTGTCATCTTTGATAGGAGGAGCCTGGACAAATGCGCCCGAGTGGGAAGCAACGTCCAACAAAATTAGAGAGAGAGAGAGAATGTATTTGAATCACAGACGAATACATTTTAGAAACATGTGCGCCAGAAAACGCCTCTATTGTCTAATATAATATAATATGATTTGAAATTCCTTAAAGAACAGGTAAAATTGAAAATTAAAATGAATAGCTGAAAATAAGAATTATATTAAGCAAAAAAATTCTGAAATTAAATTACAATAGAATAAAGATTGAGCAAAAAATTGAAAAAGAACCAAGAATCAAAAGATTTTTTAGCCAAGTTAGTTCACGTAGTTTCGATTGTTAGTATCCACAATCGTCTTTGGGTGATGACTTCATTATTCCTCCGAGAGTTGACTAGTTATGTCATTCCCTTCTCCCTCTCTATGCTTCACCAATTTAGCGGAAGATGGCCGTTTGGTGGGAGTTGACCGTTTCCCGCTTGATTATGGGCTTCCAGGTTACATATCTCTACGTTACCTTGGCTGAATGCGTTGTTGGACAACATATATGCAGCTTCATTGAATTTCCTCCTAAGCCAGTGTTCCTCCATGTGGATGATCTCAGCATGGCATCACTTGGGTCATGTTGATGAGTCCAAACATGCTCTGCTATTTCCTATTTATTGGTTTCTCCTCGCTGTGTTTTTCTTGTGCTCTGCAATGCCTCATAGTTTCACTGATATAGGATTTGCCGCACTCACAGGGTATCCGGTAAATGCAATTATCTGAAGTCCGCGTTTGGTGGCCTGGTATTCGTGAAGCAGGTTCTGATGTTGTACTTGAACCAAATTCTTCTTATTTTTTCGACATTTCTCTGATGTAGAGAAGTGCAAGCACTGGTTATGATAGCTCTTGCTGTCTTCTAGTTGAAGTCTGTTCCACCATCACTTTGGAGTAACCATTCCGTTGAAGATCTTTTTTGATGGTACTTAGTTCTTTCCAGAGACCTTCTTTCGCTCGAAATCCATCTTCAATTTAGTCAGATTGGAGCCTGGCTCCCTTACCCTTTGAACTGATGTTTGCCAGAAGGACAAACGGGTCATAACTGATATGGGTGTTAAATGGTATGGCGGCATGAATGTCCTCAGACATCAGTACCGCCCTTCACGGTGTACCCCTGCCTGGCTGGGGTGAATTGGATGAAAACGTTGTTCATTTTTCATCGGAGGATATAGGGGCCTCATACGACAGAATGTCGGGGCCTTCTATATCGGGAGGGGTCGTCTATAGCATAATCCATAGCTTCCCTGACTAATAGGTTTTCATGAGTTTCTGCATCATCAAAAACTCTTTGATTTCTCGACTGGATGGACTGCCGAATGGAAGGCAGCTGCAAATCTCTGCGGATGGCTTCATTCCGCACGAACCAAGGAGCATTCACAATCATCCTTATTAGCTTGTTTTGTAACATTTCCAGAATGGAAATGTTGAACGGAGCCGCTTGTCCCCAGATGCCTGAAGCATACATGATGACAGACTTGAACATCGTATTGTAGATGGTAATTTTGTTTTTTAGACTCATTTTTGATTTTCTATTTATCAGAGGGTACAGACGTGCTATCCGACCCTCGATCTTAGATTTGACGGACATTATGTGC